GGAGCCCCTAGTGGCGTCCTTGCTCCTAGTAGCGATGCCAGGAGCCCTTAGTGGCGTCTTTGGTCGTAGTAGCGATGCCAAGAGCCGCTAGTGGCGTCCTTGCTCCTAGTAGCGATGCCAGGAGCCCCTAGTGGTGTCCTTGCTCCTGGTAGGGATGCCAGGAGAGCCCCTAGTGGCGTCCTTTCTTCTATAGTAGCGATGCCAGGAGCGCCTAGTGGCGGCCTTGCTCCTATGCTTGCTTTTGTTGACCGACATGAAAAATCAATAGAACACGAAAACCGCCGCTCCAGTCGCAGCGCTTTCGCGACGCGCGCAGTCACCAAGGTGTTCCGTACTTGGGTGCGGTCGACGCGAACTCACCGGAGCTGGTGGACCGAGCTTGGAGACCGAGTTGGGGGGGTTCAAAGAAGCCCGGTGACCTGGACGGCGCGAGGTGTTTTGGGAGCTGAATGAGTTGGCGAAAGGAAATGGTTCAGATCGGCCAGTTATATCAGATGTAGTAAGAGGGAAACATGGAATCTAAATTATTCATTTTTTGTGGTTTGGGGGTTTGTAGCTGGTGCAAGCTTTGCACTGAAGAGGTCCAGTCAGTAATTCAATATAGTACATGTTGAGGCTCGTCTGAGACATCGTATCAACAGCTGAGAGGAGTTTAGATGAGTTTAGAACATGACGGCTAACCACAAGTTTCGAATCAGGGGGCCGAGGTGGTCAATCGATCTGGTATCAAGGAGTTGACTGACCGCCGCACTACTCGGCCCAAAAAGAGGGGTTTGGCATCGTGCCAGGGGATCTAAAGCAACACGATCCCTTCCTGGGTGTCCGGGTGCATTTCGTGTGGCCACTGGGCCTTTTCATGCGGCGGCTTTCGCGCGTGGGAGCTCCAGCCAGCCCCTTCTCCCAGGCGGCGTTGACCGACCTGGTGGTGATCGGCGGGTACGCTCGGCGACCCGAGAAGACCACGCGGTGGTGGATGGCGTCGACAATCGATGCGAGGATGAGATGGATTGAGATGGACATGATGTCAGGTCCTAATCCTTTGGTAACCTTCAGGTCCAACCTATATATAGATGATTTCAGTAGATTTCATCATGGCATGGACCATATTGTAACTCACCCACTCGGCTCTCGCAGGGACAGACCTGGAGGCTTGACAAAGTTCTTCACGCTCAACGAAGGGGAATGGTATGAAACGGTATGCAGTATGGAAATGTATGGAACCACTTGATGCCAAGGGGTGGAGCGAACTGCGGCATCGCACGCAACAGCGAACAGAAAAACCGTCTCAGGATGGCATTTTGAAGAAGCCCTTCCTGGATGCTCCACGCTATGGAGTCATCAACACGCACTTGGGCCTTCTGCCTCTTTGAAAGCAGGCTGAAGCAGCCCAGGCTGAGGACACGTGAAGATCGGGTGACCTCCAACAAGCAAAAGATCGGCCGCCCTTGTTCGGAGATCGGCCTGGGGATGCTGACTAAGGAGCTCAACTGTGTTGCATCCAAACGGCTGACCCTCCTCTTTGCAGGACGCCTTCACCGTAAAGGTACTTCAGGTGGTCCACCACGTCTCCACGTAACTGTGCCATGAACAAGGTGTCACGTCTGTATGGGCCCCCGTGAAGTTGCACGTTTTTGAAGGACAGGGTTCCAACAGTCATTCAGGGGGGGTTGGGGGGGTGGGGGGGGCCAAATGACGTCGGTTCGTGTTTGGGTCGTTTCGTGTTTTCGTCGGTTTGTGGTTTCGTCGAGTCGCGTGTTCGTCGGGCGTTGTTTTATTGAGTTTGGCAGCCGGATGTCAGACAAGAGCGCGCCGCAGACACCATCTCGGGCCGCTGGTTCGCGGGAGGACCCGATTCTCGGTGAAAAAGTAAAAACTTTTTATGTGCTGAGATAGTGACCTCAGGCTTGCTTCGGAATGTTCGAGCAGGTTCTTTGTTGTGTGCAGATGGTGCACTTGCATGGTCGGCCGCTGCTTTCGAAGCGCTTGACTGTGAAACACGTCAAGCATGTGAAGAGTCAATGGACTAAGAGGGCCAATGGTCAACTCAAAGCAGATGATCTTTGGCGCCCATCAGCTAGATCGGCTGTGGTTGTGGATGAAATTCATCCCGCCGCAAAGCAAGAACCGGTCCAAAGGATTGGTGAACCCACGGCTGTGGAATAGAGTGTATCAGTGGGTGTATCGCCACCACACGCGAAACACCTGAGAGCATGCCGACCACTGCTGAAAAAAGGCCGCTACAACTTTTTTTCGACTTTTGAAACGCTAGAAACGCCATTTCGTATGGGCCTGCCCACACGAAGACGGGGGGCCCGTACGGACGTGAAACCATGAACAACTGCAACGTGGTGGCAGTTCTTTGACGTCTCCCAAGCTCCGGCGATCGCCCCGGTCGACGGCGATGAGGCCGCTGAATCGTGGCTGTTGCCCTAGCTTGTGGGCACAGTTGCATGGCCTCAGCCAGGTGAGAGCAATCGTCAGGGTTGGAGTATGTGTGTGTGACGATGAATCGTGGAGTGGACACATGTGAGTATTGACCAACCCCTCCCATGAAACAATTTGAAGAGATGCTAGAATGTAAGATGCCCTTGTGAAAGGCAAACGCACGGTCGCAAAAGATTCGCGAAAGGTTACTGTCAAGTGCAACGCTTGCCATCACTTCCCTTTTGTTACCAGCAGACATTCATGTTTGGAATGACGCGCATGCGCCGCATGTAAGTAAAACGAAAGCTTGCGAAAGTGGCTTTGCACGGAATGCAGCGTGCGAAAGCACAAATGCATAGCACCAGACGAACATGGGGGATTTGGGGGCATGATGGTTTGACGAGAAACTCGCCATCAGGGAGGCCGAATCGTTCAGCTGCTCTGACAGGGCTACACCACCTACCTGGTGGGCGAGGCCGTGGATCATGGTCCCATTTTGGATCTCTACGAGGCCGAAGACGACCACACGGGGGGGCAAAGGGAGAGGAGTCCTGAACAGTCCTGAACATTTGGCCGGTGATCGTGAAAACGGCACCTTAGATCGAGAATGATCGAGAGAAGGCCATAGAAGACCTTGGTCAGGCAGAGGAGCTATGGATAAACTCATTGTGAGCTCATGCCCAACCATGCCATGCCAGTGTAGGATTGATCGACTGATCTCAGCCATGTCTCTCCGGTAATCACTGCCCAAGTCTAATAGGACTATACCCTTGCCAGTTTGCGGAACAAGTCTGTGTTATTCTTATTGAGACATTCATTTCACTCACTATTTATTGAGTTGAAACGGGGCAATACTAGTTGATATATATATATATGTATTGATATATGTTTAGTTTATAATTTAGTACATTGTACAATCATGTGTATATATTTGTACAAACATATATATATATATATATAGATGGGCGGGCGCTGATTAGGGGGCCCCTGGGGGGGGGGAGTGTTCCAAGAACTATTGAACTTAAAGTTGCTAGTGCTAATGCCAGCGCCCCCCATATACATATGTGCAAGTGTAATCACTCGGGAAGAAGTTGAGGAAGGAAGTGAGGGAAACCATAGTTGGCATTCATCCTTTGAATCAACATTGAACAGGAAGCATATAACGGCACATTTTTGATTTGAGTTTTTTTTACAACACTATGCTTGCAATGTATAAAGATGCAAAAACCTATTGTTTAAACTGAAGCATGCTGGTATTACAGTACATAGTGTTAAGATTGATGCTTTCACCATCAAGGCTGAAGGATGAAAAGAGCTCAAGGGATTTTTTGGATTCTATTAATAAGATTGGAGACTGGAGAGTGAGCAAGTATGCGGATATTAAATTACCCAATGAACTTTACCAAGTTGTAGAAAATATAATTGTAGAAATACCAACCTCTATATTTTGTTTGCCTCTAAAAGAGAAATTCAATTTGATGAGTATGATGCTGATGATACTGTTAGTAAATTTGAGAAAGGGAAACTTAATGATTAGGATATTTTGCAGGAGACGGCAAAAGTCATATCTGCCAGTTGATAAAGGGAACACAGTATTATTTGTATGCCCTACTAATAGGTTATTGCACGAATTTGAAGGTGATGCCATAACAATAAACAATATGTTTGGTATAAGTGTTGGTGATGCTAAAATAGAACCATTTGATTATTCTGAATTTGATGAGATGTAATAGTCGTTGATCAAATCTACTTCATCGGTTTGCGTGTTGATTGAAAAACCCAATAGTTTGTTGAGCAATACATGTTTGCAACAGGTGATGCCAAACAACTAAAGCCAGTTCAGGAGCTAACGAATACCAAAGATTATGAAATATGCTGATGCAATGATTGACAACATGTTTGAGCATGATATATTGCCGAAAGTGTACAAGTATGTATGTTATATGATAGGGAATTCATAGAATATTCATGCAGGTTCCATGTCAAATTTTGGAGGGTCGTTCCTTCCTTTTCAGGCGCCTTCCCTCGGCGGCCTTCTGCATACGAATCGCCATGTCTACGACGCACTGGCCGAAGCAGCTGCAACTTGGCTGCGGAAATGGGCGGGGGGAGTCACCAAATCATCATGCGGGAGCGCTGCCAATTTCACAAGAAATACATTTGCCCGGCCCATGCCAAACATACAAAGAACAAATCCAACCTTGAACCAAATTTCCCGCCATATGCACCTTTGAGTGCCAGGAGTCGTTAGCACATTCCTAAGGGGTGACAGGGCGGGCGGGGAAGAATTCCGAAATCTTTGGTGTGTGACTTTTAATTTTGATGGTCACCGAGGACCTCTTTCTTTGTACATTCTTAGTTATGTCATTGACCTGTGTGTCATGCATAAGCCAGACGCGTTTCACTGCGAGACTCTGGCGCGAGAGGTAGTAATGTATTGTAATGTTGATTCCATTCATGACTCATTTTACCCCCGAACTGGTAGTGGCTGAGTTCCACGTGGGGTAGTTCATGAGTCATTGGAAGTTCTGGGGTGATAGATAACTGCCGTTCACCTTGATAAAACGAGACGCAGCATGCCAAACCGGAAGCTCCGCTTTGGGCGGAGCACACGAGGTGCGGCGCTTCGGCGAGGCGCTGTGGCGCCTCGGGGAGGGCCATGCATTGAAGCGCTGTGAGGGACGCTCAGCTTGGGGGTGAGGGGCGTTGAAGTACCTGGTGAACCCACCTCCGTGGCTCCCTGGTGGGTTGGTCGAGTAGCGGATCGATGCGGATCGCGGCCGTTGTAGCGGATCGATTGAATTTATATGAATTATAAATATGTGCCTCTCGCATCTCTCAATCATGGCGTTGTTGGTATGCAGGTTTGGTGTAGTTCGTGTACCTTTTGCGTGTGTGCAACAGCAGCAGAGGGTTTTTCGTAGGGGCACCTCTTGTGGAATCAAAACTCCTTCTTCAACTAACACACCAAACAATTTCCACCATCAACTTATGAATGCCTATCAAAAGACAACCGTGCTTCAAAACATATAATGCAATGTATTCAACCAATGGATTTAACATATGTATTCAACTACCGATGCGCGCACAGAAAAAACCTTAAAACCATTACGGCAGCCCAATATCCAACACACACGTAACATCAATCGCAACATAGTTGTCACATGTGTAAATGGTACACACCTTCATCTGCAACGGACCTTGTCCCTTCTCTCGAAGTCTAGAAGTTTCACCCATGCTGAGTGAAAAAGGCCATTAAACCGAATGCGCCTCCAACATCTCGTACCAGAATCGTATTGAGGTGATGTCTTATTCAATGTCAATCTCAGATATGCAATGTGTGTGTGAGGCTAGGTCTAGGTCCAGGTGCCAGGAAAAGCTCCCCAAATGCAATACTGTACTACAAATGAGCCGCCTGGCTGGGTACGTGATTTTGGTTTGAAACCATGCTCTCAAGTCGGGGCCTAGGCCAGTGAGTGGTGTTGAAACTCCCCCACGCCACACAGCCATGCCCCAGAATGCTTCGAGCCTCGAGCGCTTGGTGCCCTGGGTTTCGAGGACTGGAAGCCTACCACAAGAAGGGCATGCCCAATGATGGTTGGCTCTCCTTTCACTGGAGCCTTTGGCCCAAGCTGATGGTTAGTGCTTTTGGTTGGGGGGGCCTTTAGGAGTATTTTAACCTGCAGCCCAGCAGCTGAACAGCTTGCGTGTAGAAGTCGTCAGTGGATATGGATGTTCACTTTGCCGTGGCCTTTTCCAGCTCATTCCGTGCCGATACAATCGATGTTCTTTCCTTTTTCAACGGGGCGGCTCCACGGATCTCTGCGGTAGATCATTGGTGGAGCTCCATCTCCTGGTCATTTTCAGAGAGACCCAGAAGGGCAGAGTGATAGTTTTGGGAACTATATCTTTTTATTTATACTGTATCTAAAAATTTGTCCCACCTTGAGATCGATGGTGGGAGGAAAGGAGGGAGAGAGGGAGGAACAGAGAGAGAGAGAGAGAGATTTCAATTTAAGAACATGTTTGGCCGCTTGGCCCCAAAGCCTCTCATTTGCCTCCATTTTCTCTACCAGCGCTCCGAGGTCACATGAGTTCATCCTCCGCTTCTCCTTGGCCTTGGACTTTGCGCCCTACCTGCCCGGGCGGGCGAGATTGCAGGTGCATGGCGTGACCGTGACGTGCGCGCAGGAGATGGCAGTAGCCTGTAGGAGGTGTGTTTTGTTTTTCCCGAGGGGTGGTCCTGCAGCATCCCGAAGTGGTGAAATGTTTCCGACAAGGCCTAGAAAGGCAGAGTTGGTCATGGGATGTCATGGGAAGGGCTAGCTAATTCATCTGAAGTTCTCGATTTGTTCGCAACACGTCAGAGAGAGTTACCATCGGTCCCTTCACCTGAAGTGTTCTGCACCCTTGTGTGTGGGGGGGGCCGGGCACTGGTGGGTGGAACATGATGGAACGATGCACGTGACATGCCAGGATGGCAGTGACCCTTGGCGGGACAGGATGGCACAGGCGACACTGGCAGGAGTCGGACAGGACTTTCTCCAAACAGGGAACCGGTCCCTGAACTGGGTTCATTTCCAGGGCGGTGACCGGTTCTTGGGCCTTTGGGACTCATCACGCACATTGTCAAACAAAAGCAACTCCCTTCTAACTCATTGCACTATTGAGTCATTCCCACTTCAATTGCAAACGTCAAACCCCCGCCACACCCGCTCGAAATCAGGCGATTCTCGCTTCCAAATGGCGGGCCCCCGCGGGCCCCGCGCCGCCTCAGGAGATCTACCTGGCCGTCACTCAGATTTGGGCCGACGAGTCGATCGCGACGACGGATCCGGCGGCGGTGCCGCCGCGCCCGGGCACGGTGTTGGAGCTCCGAGAGGAGGAGGAACATGGGAGGGGGGAAGGGTGTGGAAGGTCACCCGGAAAGGTGGGAGAGATGCAAATCGGCAAATCTCATGGCTAAGGAAGAAGTGGATGGGGAAAAGGTGATTGTGTACGTTCTTCAGGTGTGTGTGTGTGTGTGTCACCCCCTGTACCAAAGGGTTCAATGCCACTGTTTCCACCACCACTACTCCATAAGGCAGGGGCGTGTGGCCTTCTTGTCCTACCACACGCAACGAAGCTGTGGACAAGAAGGGGAAGCAGGGACTGATCATCCCTGTGTACCTGCTACAACTTTTGAACAAGCTGTCCACTCCTTTGCCTGTAGCTTCATTTGGGACAAAAAAATGTGCTCGCTTTTTTTTGCTCGAGTTCATGTTTTCTGCTCGATTCCTGGGTCCCCCAAAAAAAGCGCTCGAGGCTATGAAGTAGCAAGGATGCACACACACCTTTCCATCACCCTATCTCTTTTTTTCAGCGAAGCCAGCCCTTCTGGTGCCACATACGTCGATAGTGGCTAAGACAACGTGTGGTTGTCCGCACAGCAATACCAAAGGCATGACAGCGGCGCGTCACTCTGCACACCTGAGTCAGCGATAGACAGCAAATGTTGGACATGCATGAGCTGCACCGTCACTTGAGTGCATATATGCATACAAGCTGCCCTTCCAATCCAGTCCTCATCTTGCCATGTGGCAAATCCTTTGCGCATCTTTGGCAGGATCCCCCCAACATGCAAACTATGAACGATCACGCACAATGCACATGCGTGCAAGCACCTATTGGGGTTCAAGACGAACTCAGGGTTCCGCAAGATCTGGTCATGCATGAACAACCTGGGCCAACATGGCACCATACTTTGTCAACGCATGCGTGACATACGGCACTTATCAAGCAAGTGTTGCAGCACAGGCACTGAATCTCTTGCTGCATGTGAAGTTTTGGCTTTGTTTTAAAGAGCAACCATCGCTTGGAAACTGCATAGTGGTTCAATGCACTGTAGCCTTCCTAAGTGCATGGAGAAACCCAATGCTGTTACCTATCAGCCTATCATGCATGCAAACTGAACAATGGGAACAATGGACTGAACAATGGGAACAATGGGCATGAAGCTGTGAAAGAACCCCCTGTACCTCCAGCCATGCTACTGTAAACTGTTGGCAGCTTCGAACACAGGCTATAGCCTTGTCTCTCGGCAACCAAAGCTGTCTTCTCCCCAAGGCCTTGAAGTATCGGTCCACTGCTTCCAACGTCCAACAAAGAAGCGATAGGGCATCAGCGGGAGCTTTCTTAGCTCGGAGCAAATGTGGCAAGTTGATACACACACACACACACACGTATGCATATTCATGGACGCACGCTCTCACGCATTGATAAGGATGCAATGCCATTTAGCTCAGATTCATGACCCTCACGCAATTCTCCGGAAACCACAGATACTAACCATTTCGACAAAAGCGTAGTGTCATAGGCTTTCCCACAGCCTCCTGGCCAAGTTTGTAGCCTTGGCTCTAGGTGACCCAAGCACTCACCAACAGCTAGTTAAACCAAAGCACAGTAGCAACCATGCTGTTGTTCAGCCAAGCCACGATGACATTTTGAATGTCTTCAGTTCAAACTTGTTCAGGCTGGATTTCTTTTTGTGTGCTACACACCAAGCATGGAACGAATCGTAGGCGCATTCAAGGCGTTCATCGATGTTGTGACCAGGAAACATGTGCCATCGGCATGCCAAGAGTACCTCGACACTGTTCAATACTTAGCATGCATGTGCTCACCATCACCCTTTCCATTCATGACAGAAATAGTCAAGGTACAATGGCTGAGGAGACAAACTCTCTGCCCACACCATGGTGCCAAGTATGCATTTGGTCTGGGGGGCTGTCACAAGGCCCCCCTCCTGGGAGGGTATGCAGGCTTGGCGGGGGGTGTCGAACTGCGGAGGTTGCAGGCCTTTCCTGTCTCCAAGGGGCTGCTGCTTTCGTGTTCCACCATTCCTGAACTCATCTAGCGTAGCTCAACACATTAAATTTTAAAGTAAAATCCTCTGCCAAAGCCGACCATGCATGGATTGAAGGCAAGTTTCGCGACTTGAGCAATAGTGGCACTTCCTCAAGGATGTGAAGCCTGAATATAAATTGTGAGCCTTTCCTTAGCAACAGTTCCCAGGACACATAAATTAATGTTGCAGGAAAGGTTGGATCTATGACAGCAATGGTCAGTAAAGAAAACTTTGTGGATGCGTATTTGAGCTGCTGAGGTATGGCCAATCCCCCTTGACACCAACTAACACAACAAACAGTTGCAAAGGCCTCTCATCTTCCAGAGCAACCTCGAAGAAATGCTGCATGCACGGCCGACAATATAATCATTAATGCTTGAACCTAGCAATAAAAAATAATAAAAAGCACCGCACAGCATCCAAGGAGCTTCAAATCCGTTGGTGTAAAGTTGCCTCAAATCTTCAACCAATGCTTCTTGCAAGACTTGCACCGTGTGGTCACCCTCATAGAGCTCCCCGGGCATAATCGAATGCAACAGCCTGCTGTTGAAACTATGGCCAGCATGTCCTTCAGGAAGAATTGCAGGCTGCACTGAAGTGGCCATGACAGCTCTCCGAAGCTTTCCACGACCCTCGTCTCCGTGAATCATCACAGGGATGCACCTGCCGAGGTGTTCCACATGATCAGTGAAGACCTGGTGGTCCTCCCCTCTTGCAGCCTTGAACTTGGCCCAGAAGTCCCTGAGCATAGCCTGCCAGCCCTGCATATCGCGTAATGCAATTCCACCGAGCACGGGCTGGCCACAAGTTTTCTTGAAAATTGCTTCCAGCCATGAAGTCAATGGCAGGGTAGGCCACGGCATCATGATATGTTGGCTCCTCCATTTCACAGGCAGGTCCACCTCCACCATTTTGACCGGCAAAGTCATGTTGAACTGGTGGATGAGTCTGTGTAAGTTGCGTGACCAGTTGGTGCGGCAAGACCAGCTTTTCATTCTAGACAGCAGGTCGCTGAGACCTTGTAAGGAAGCATGTTTGAATGGCTCATGCAAATTGAAGGATTGCACATATCTAAAGTCAGGATAGGTGGTTCAGCAAACATTCAGCCCTGGGCCACCATGAGGTGTACGCAGGCAAGAAAACAACTGCCCCATAGAGACAACGTGCCTTGCAGAATCAGCCTGAGATGAGCCATATGGATGTGATCAGGCACAGACACCAAAGACCAAACAAACTTGTACGAGAAACTCCAGTATCAAAGCCTTCTAGCATAGCATCCATGATAATATGATCTAAGTCATTCTTTGCCTCCTGTTTGCCAAACGGAGTGGCCAAATCAATGCCTCACACAGACTGCACAGAAACATCTAAACCGTTCAATGTCACTCAGGAAACACATATGGGCCATCTGAGGACAACACGAGGGCCTTCTTCAGATTTATCCTTTTCCAAACCATGTTTCTTTGAAGCCTTCATGTCATTGGATAGTGTTCTATCACGCTTCCTCTTCTTCGAAGAAGAAGCAGTACCTCACAAACCATGTCCAGCCAGATTCAAACCGTTGACCATGACCCATACACAAACTAATACATGCGTGCGCATGCGTGACAATCATGCATGAATGAATATGAATGACATTTGAAGACAAGGAAATGTGATTATGCATGCATGTATTAAAAGATCTGGAATTCATGCATGAACTCATTTTGAAGCGTACCTTGCACCCCTGCGCAAGGAATGCAAAGACCTGCAGCAGCAAAATTGTAATACGCAACCATGCATGGACACAGACCCAGCCAGCAGATCTTAAGCACCCAGCTCTCAGGTTCTTCCATCAGACCTGCAGGAAAGCCCTAGGCCCTAGACAAGCATTCGCACTGCAGAAAACCTATTCAAACAATAACCAAACAGGCGCACATCATTTTTCCAAATGCTCTCGAGGTTTGGTCAAAACTTACACGCAACCCACCCAGTCACACGGTGCAGGAAACCATGCGCCAGAAATGCTTTATGCATGGACATGAGTGAATGTGCATGGACAGACCGGCTGCCGGCTCACTTCTTTTTGTGCTTCTTAGACCTCAAAGGCATGACGTGACACATGAGCATGCACAGCTGTAATGTTTCGTTTGCACTCATCATAATTCACTCCAAAGTACTTTCCATCCGATTCATCTTCTGACTTGACATCTCCATCCTCCTTCTTGGATTTCTCCTTCTTGCGTTTGGCCTTCTCGGCCCTCTCAGCCGCCTTAGCAGCCTTTGTCTCTTCAGTCTCAGGAGGCTTCCAGCTCCTCAGGTCAAAACATGATAAACATGCATGGGTTCAGAAGAAGGGAAACGGATGAAATTGATCGAGGCCAGGACTTTGCGCGGACCAAGTACAAGTTCATTTCACAGTCTGCTTTGGTCACTTCGATGAAGTGATTCAGCAAGGCATCTTTCTTCTCCCTGGCCATCAATTTGTGATAGTTTACAGAATCGCGCACAGCACAAAAACCAAGGAAGGCTGACTTCGTTGGGATCACAGCAACCGAGTCCGATTGCAACTTGATTAGCTCCGCATTCTCTGTAGAAAGCTGATCCAAGGGCTTGGAGATGCCAGTGTACAGCCTGTACTTTCTTTGACCCAATTAAAGAGAAAGCTGGCAAGGAACTATGGCCCCTGCTCCCCCGCCCTCTTGTTGTTGTCCTTGTACGGTTCCAGTTTCTCCTGTCCAGCATCGATCGGATCTGTGTAGGCATGCATGTGGCACTTTGCAATGCTACCTAGCCTTCATGCTAGACGCCGAATCGATCTTCTTGCCCAGGATCAGCAGAAACTGTGGTAGCACCTGGTAGGGGTTGGTTGTTTGTGACACAGTGGGAAACATTGTTTTCTCTGGCGGGCCCTTGATCCTTAGCTACCATGCGTGCAGAGACTGGAAACTCAAAGGAACCATGCATGAGAGAGGAAGTCAACAATATGCAAACTTGACTTTCATGAATGAACAGTTAAAGAG